TTAAGCTCCTTTACGCAGTGATTTTCATTAAACTTGAAAGACTATTTAATTTTTTTTTAAATTAAGACTCTGTGAGGGAAAATTTTTGACCTTTTTTGTTTTGTTTATTGTGAAAGTTAGCATTACATAATTTATGGACAATCATTAAATCAAAAAAAAAAATATATATATATATATTTTTCTTTCCCCTCTCCATTTATTTAACCATAAATAATGAAAATTTACAATGATAAATTATAAATTTACATAAATAAGGTTAGGTGTCACTCATATAGTTAAAAACTAGTCAATAGAGTGACACCTAAAAAAAAAAGAAAAAAGAAAAAAGGAAAGAAAGATAAGCAACAATAAAGAAGATTAAAAAAAAAAAAAAAGAGGAAAAGAAAGTTAAAAGTAGTATTTATAAAAATAATAATAGTAACAATAATATGAATAAAAATAATATAAAAAATAATAACTGCAATATAACAACGTAAAAAGAATTATAAATGATAAAGCAATAGTAAGATAATTATAGTATAGTTAATAATTATAAAATAAATAATTTAAAGAATAGTTATAACAATAATGATAAAGCTACTGCAACTACTGAACTACTTTGATTATCATTATTGGTAGTAATATTAAGGCAACAAAAACAAAGATATATAAATAATAATAGTAACAATAATAATAACAATAAAAATAAATAAAAATAAAAATAAGTGTAATTAATTAAATAATATATTGAAGGAATAATAATAAAAGATAGCATTAATATTCTTTAGATATTTGCTCACATAAACATTTCTTAATTAGGTTTCTATTGAGAAGAAGAAGTTAGTAACAAAAGGGTATTTAGTTAAAATCTTTTTTTTATAAAAGGTATTAATTGGTTCCAGTGAGAAATACATTGATGTTTTATAGAGAGCTTGCCATACTTGACAGTATTGAAAAAAAAAGGGTGCAAATTACCATTTATAGTAATATGAGTATAGTATTTGTGTATCACTTGCTTTAATGAAAAAATTGTTAAACGAAATTGGCAAATTATTTTGGAGGAAATCAAACACAAAAAGACAGTTGTAAAGCTTTATAAGATCTTGAAATTGTAAGATTTTTAATTCAGAAAATCTTTTTTGGATATTAGATTGAATTGGAGAAAATGTCATAATTTTTATGTAAGCACATTGCAAACTGTTTATACGATTTAAAAGAAAACTTCTTTGTTGCGGCCAAACAATGCAACAATAGCTTAGATGGGATGAGAACATGGAATAGTAATTTGATACTAGAGTATGTTTAGGAACATAGTGTCGTATTAAAGATAACATACTATTGGCTCGAGAGGGTTTTTTATTTAATTGAATCATTTGATAATTCCAAGATAGGTTTTTGTCAAGAAATACTCCGAGATATTTTATAAATTCAGAAGGAAAGATTTTTTTACCATTAATTTTAATTTTAACATTATCATTACTAATTATTTTTTTTGGAAGGTGAAAAATAATGAATTCAGTTTTGTTGATATTTAGAGAGATATGATTACTATTTAATTAAAGACACAAATGATGGAGATCTGAATTAACTTTTTTACAAAGCTGAGTAAGTGATTTATTTATGCATAGAAGATTGGTATCATCAGCAAAATGGTGAACAGTGGAATTGCTTATGGAGTGAGACAAGTCGTTTATATGTATTAAAAACAGCAAAGGCCCAAGAACAGAACCTTAGGGGACACCATATTTGATAAATTTTTTGGAGGATTCAAACCCATTAATGGAGACAAACCTGCTACGATTTTCAATATATGATGAAAACCAATTATTAGCGATACCCCGTATGCCATAGTAGTTTAACTTTTTAATTAAAATCTTGTGGTCGACCGTGTCAAAAGCTTTTTAGAAATCAATAAAGACACCACAAGCAAATGAACCACTATGGATTGTACCACGAATCATTTCAGTAATGCTAATAAGAGCATGGGAAGTAGAGTGTTTTAAACGGAAACCAAACTGCGGCCATATAAGCACTTAGAATTATCAAGAAAGTGGTAGATACGAGAATACATTAATTTTTCAAGAATTTTGCTGATATTAGATAATAATGATATTGGTCTGTAGTTATTACAGTCAAGTTTTGAGCCCTTTTTATGAATTGGTTTAACAGATGCTGTTTTGAAAATTTTAGGAAATATACCTGTAATGAATGAGAGGTTAAATAGTTTAGAAAGTAATGGAGAAATATCCCAAGCAAGAAATTTAAGAATAAAAGTTGGAATGCTGTATGGACCAGAAGCCTTGCCATCATTTAGAGAAAGAATAATAGATAAAATTTCATTTTCATCAGTAGGTTTAATGAATATAGATTCAAGGTTTGGTGTTTTTAAATAGTTATAAAAGTTAGTATGGGATGAGTGAATGTTTTTTTGCAATTCGTCAGGTATTGAAATGAAGAACGAGTTGAATTTTTCTGATATTTTTTTTGAATCATGTATAATGGTGTTATTTGAAGATATACAAGATGGGTATGAGATATTTTCCAAACAAATATTCAAAAGCTTTCTAATGCCCTTCCACATAGCCCTCAAATTATTGCTGTTAGAAGAAAAATAATCGGAAAAATATTTTTTTTGCTGCGTTGAATAAGTGTTACAAATAAATTTCTATAGGTTTTGTAAGTTTTTTCAAGATTTAGTTTGATAATTAGATTTTTTGTTTTGAGAAATTTTTTAAATATCATCTTACATTTTTTTATTACAGTCAAGATTGCTGGAGTAATTCATGGTTTAAGGCTCCGAGTTAAGCCACGATTACTTAGTTTATTTAGTGGTGCGTGTTTGTCTAAAAGAGAGTTAAAGCTACGGAAAAAGTCTTCATATAATTTGTTTTTATTAACATTAAATAAATTAATTTCTTTATCCCAGTTTATCTGTAAGAAATTGTTTTTGAATTGATTACTATCAAGTTTCTTGAAATTTCGAAGGAAAATAGTGCTTTTACGAAAATAATTTTTTTTGCTTTTAAAAGATGGATGAATTAGAAACTGTGGCAAATGATCCGATATTCTAATAGTTGCCGAAGAAAAAATCTTTAGAAATTGAGTTAGAAAATATATTATCAATTAAAGTTCTTGAGTGATTTGTAATTCTTGTTGGTAAGGATATAAAAGGAAGAAAGTTGTTAGAGACAATGGTGTTTAAATACTCCGCAATGGAACTATCTGAGTTTGCTTTAATAAGATCTATATTAAAGTCACCCATTAAAAAGATGGTTTAATTCGTCTTAAGGGAAAAATTTTCAAATAAAACAGCTAGATATGAAAAATTAAATTCATCAATATACATATTACGATGGCGATAGATACATCGTACTATGATACTAGACTTATTAGGGAAGATGATTTCAACAAACACTGACTCAAAGAATTGGGGTTTATACATAAGTAAATCATTTCTAGGTTTATAAATTAGTTTTTCAGAAAAAAAGGAAAGATACTAATGTGGCATGTTATACAAAGCCAAAAATTGATGGAGGAGTTTATTGATGATCTAAAATCAATTTTATCCAGAGAACATTTATTATGGAATGAATTTAAACAGTGTTTACATTGAAACGAAAGATGATTAGCACGAATATATTTATTACAAATTTTACAAAGTTGAGACATTATAGTAGAAATTAGTTTATAAAGTAAGCTATAGATATAAATAAGATTATTAGTAACTTAAACAACAATAAAATAGCAGTAGAGAATATACTAAAATATAAAAATGACGATAATTAAGATAATAATATTGGCAATACGAATACTAATAAATACTAATAATAAAATAATGAATACAAGAATAATAATAATCACGACAATAATAACAATAGCGACAGTAATACAAATAGCAGCAGTAGCAATATGTAATAAAAGCAAAAATATGAATACTGTAATTATAATCAACACTCAATAATAAAAAGTACGATAATAAAACTAATAATAAAATAATTTATAATATGTATAAGTAAAAAATACACAAGTAAAAAAAAGAAAAGGAAACGAATAAGCTAAAAAAGAAAAAAAAGTTAAAGTAAATCAATTTCAAATATTAGCGCAAAAAATAATGCTTTTTAAACTTCTTTCCAACTTTAAACTTATATCTTTCAAACTTTAAACTTCTTTCAGACTTTCTTTCAGACTTTCTTTCAGACGTGATTTTTTCTTTCAAATGATTTTAAATGTTGATAACAAAAAAAGTTCTTTTTAAAAATTCGAATTTCTTTAATATGCTATTGCATGGACTGATGTAAAAATAGCTTTAAAAATAATGCAAAAAAAATCATATTGCAAATTAAATTTTCTGATTTTAAAACTTTTTTTGGATAAAATTTTTTTGCTTACCTACTTTTAACTTGCTTACCTAATTTTTATCCCTACACTAATGTGGGAAGTGAGTTCAAACTTCAATGAATTTTGCAAGTGGGAGGGTGTTATATGTTTTAAAAAAAAAAGCTTTATATCGCTAATAATTGTTTTTACAATATTATAATATCTATTTAAATATTCAGAGTTTTTAATTTATTTAAAAACTTGAAAATAGAACTTTAAATTTCACTTTTTAAAATATTTATTTTTTAAATGTGTTAAAAAATATTTGAAAATTTCTAAAAAATTAAAAAATGATCTCACTATAATATAAATAAAAATATAAAATTAAAAAAAAACGGTGTTGCATTTCGCAGTGATTCAATAAAAAAAAATTTTGATAAAATGTATTTGCATGTAAATATCTTTCAGGGCATTAAAAGTACAAATTTCATTAAATTTTTAAAAAATTTATAACTAAAACCTCAAACAAGCATTTTACATTGTAATAAAAATAACAAATCCTTCATTTTAATGGCAAAGTTTGCAAAGTATAATATTTTGAATTTTATTACAATATTAAAAAAATAATTGGCAGGTATAAAGATTACAATACTATAATATTGTCATTGAAAAATTGTAAAACAACTTATTGAATTTATTGGTACCTTGCAACTCCACCACCAATCATCAAGCTTCCTGCTTTAATCTGTGTGGAATATGGTCTAAACACAACGTTATAAAAACCACTTGAATGACAATTTTATTTGATATTTGCACTATTTACATATGTAATAACTTAAGAAAAACAAAGAAAATTTATTTTAATTTACCTAACTTTTCCATCAAAAATAAAAAGAAAAAAGATGTTATAGGTGTGTAAAAAAAGAAATCATAAAATAAACTTAATAAAAATTTATTTATTTATTATCTTGCAAGAGCAAGTATACTATATGCAAGAGCAATTTCTCATAACAAACAATAACAAAAATAATTACCCAATTAAAAATAAAAATAAAAAAAACAAACAAATTTATTAGCTAAAAAGTAGTACATGTTAAATTTTATTTTATATTTGTGCTACTTTTGATATTTTAAATTTTGTTTATTTCGTTTTGTTATAATGGTTTTATAAAAAAAATGTTTTCCCATTTAATCAAAAAAATGAAAAAACATTAAAACTTAAAACGACATCTTATAAAGAGTTTACTTTTTTATAATGAAAAAAAAACAATTTCTTTTATGGATATAACTCTATTATTATTTTTTTGTTTGAAATTATGCTTGAAGCAATATAGCTCTTCAATATAGCAATATCTTTGTTTATATTTATAAGTTTTATTTTGCGAAAACGTAAAAGTTTAGAAAAATAATATTTTATAATACTTATTTATACTTTTGATATTGCACAATTTGTTATATAAATAACAAATTGTGCAATATCAAAAAAGTAAAAACAGAAATTTTCTTATAATTAAGAAAGAATTTTGATTAAAAAAGTTACTTAAAAAGTTACTTAAATTTTAAAAAGTTACTAAAATTTAGAGAAATTATTATAATTATTTTATATATATATATATATTATATATATATATATATATATATATATATATATATATATATATATATATATATATATATATATATATATATATATATATATATATATATATATATATATGAAGAAAATTGTCTGGCATAAAGTTTCACACCTGTAAAACTCAAATATTTTTTTTAGCTCGACATTAAGTTATTACTTATTTATCGCAAGCGATCTTTAATTTTTGGATATGGGTATTCCACACAATTTTTTTAAGTTTTAATTTGTTATACAGTGTTCTTTAGACAACAAAAATTATTTAGACAACAAAAATTATTATTTAGAAGTGCACTGTGTGACAAAATGTTTAAAATATTTTCGACTTCCTAAATACTTATTTATTATTTGATCACATCTGATTGTGTTTTTTTTCCCACCTAGTTCTTGATGATCTTGTTTTAAAGAATAAACTTATGAGTTTTCTTTGTTATTGTCTTTATTGTTAACTAAATACTTCAGTCAATTTTATTTTTATTATTACATCAAATTTATTTGAAAGAAGTTCATAAGCTTTCATTTTTTTCATTATTTCATTTGTTTAATTAAAATATAAATTCATAAAGTTTTCACGTCATTAAAACATTAAAACAATGAAATAATTTTTTTTTTTGTTAAAACATATTTTATATTTTTTTGTTGCTAATGCTAATAGAATTTTTAAATCTTTTTTAGCAAATGTTTTCACAAACTCAAACTTTTCTTTTTCTCAAATAAAATTATCATTTTAATTAAGTTATAAATAATATAAGTTATAATTTTAATAACAAAAGCTTTTTAAATTTAGTTAAATTTTGGCAGAAAACATTAATGTTTTTAGAAATATTTATTTTGAAATTAAATAAAAAACTTATTATTATATGTATGATTTTTAGCAAATGCTTTTACAAAATTAAATTAACAACATTTCTCCTAATTAATTTGTATTTACTACACAATTTAATAATAATAAACTTATATAATTAAATAAAATTTTATTTAATTTTGTTAAATGTTTGCTTTAAACGTTTTATATAAAAAGTCTCATTCACAAATCACCATTTATTGTTGGTAGAAATTTGTGCTATAATTTCAACTGGGAAAAATGAGTTTTTTAATTGAAGTATAACTTTGAAATTTTATCTCAATTGAAAAAACACAATTAAAGATATGCGAATAGAGATTAATTTGTTTTTAACAATAAGCGAACTTTTTGTTTAATTAAACAAAAATCTTTGACAAAAACTTTTTATAAAAAATTAATAAAAAACTAAGTAAACTATTATTAGTTTTCTCCCTCACAAATTTTTAGGACAAGCGCAATTTTTTACGCTAGTAACTTAATTAGCAAGCGTTTTTTGATCGCGCCCGTAATTTATAAATATTCCATTAATGAGCGTGTTTCACGTGACGTGATCGCTCACGCTTCATGCCAAGGCCTGTATACATATATATATATATATATATATATATATATATATATATATATATATATATATATATATATATATATATATATATATATATACTTACATATATATATATATATATATATATATATATATATATATATATATATATATATATATATATATATATATATATATATATATATATGAGCAATTCCATTTTTAACTTACATTAAATGCGCAACAACTTTATCAAATATTTGCCTAATTAAACTGTAAATTAAACTTTTAGCTATTTGATATGAAAACTGTTAGTCTAAAAAATAAAATAAGCTAAAAAGTTTTGAGTCTGGCCAAAAAAGAGCAAACTTATTACTGAAAATGCCACAAAAGAGGGCAAACTTATTACTGAAAATGCCACAAGTTACATGGAAAACAAGGTAAACAAATTGCTTCATCTTTTAGGTCAGATTTCTTCGAATCAGTAAAGCGTGTTAAGAACTCTATACTAATTTAAAAAATATATAAAAGTTTATCAGAGGTGACCGGCTAAGAAAAATAAACTTGTTTTTTTGATACTAAGTATTTAACTTACGTTACATCATTTGTATATGTCTATAATTAAAAGTTCGAGTTACGTAGCAAAAGAACTGCAAAAGTATTGAACTCATTCATTAAAAATAGTTAACAAAAAAATTTTTAAAAAACTTCCTGAGTAATTTTTCATAACATATATGAAAGTTAGCTAATCAAAAACAGTTTTTCCGCAAGACCAAGAGCAACTTTAAAAAATTATTTTAGTATTACAACTTTATTAATACTTATTTGAGTCATTTAAATAAGAAAATCTTTGGTTTGTCGAAGTTTTTATTTACACTCCTTACGTTTATGCATATTGCCTTATTTTTATTAGGTTGAATTTTTAAAATGCTGCAAAGTATTTACATTTAAACTATTTAAAATTTTTTTGACGTAAAAACTGATATCACAGTTTAGGAGAAAAAGGGGTTTAAGTAAATGTGATTGTTTTAGGAGGAAGAGAGTTTGAGTATATGTGATTGTTTGTGACAGGAGGGAAGGGGTTAAGAATTAACAAATATAGGGTGACATGCTTTATTTATGACCCCCCTTCCTTTAATTGCTTTTACAAATGATTTGTTTCAAAAATAAAAAAGATTCTAACTGATTTTTTTTATATTAGGAGAATATCAAATTATTCCTTTTTTTTTTTAATGTCTAAATAAAAATATTTATATAATTCTTATTTTTATTTATTTATTTATATTTATATGTCAACCAAAACAAAAATATATAAAAAAATAAAAAAACAATGATATAATTAACTTTAATTAACATTAAAAAAATTAAAAGATTTTTATATATAAATTCTCCTAATATAAAAAATTACGGCTGAAACCTTATTGACGAAATAATCACCTTAGAGCAAGAATGCATCATCTAGGTTTCTTGCTTAGTGGAGAAAATGAGAAAACTAACTTTGATAATAATATAATAAAAAGAATATTATATATTCTTTATTATATTATATATTATATAATACAATAAAGAATATAATATATTCTTTATTATATTAATTACAAAGTTAGTTTTCTTATTTTCTCCACTAAGCAAAAAACCTAGATAGTGCATTCTTGTTTTGAGGGGACAAAATAAATGACAATTCATTTTATTAACAAAAAAGCGCCAGAACTTTAGTAAATAAATGCAGTTTTAACTTACGTTATAGAAGTTTAAAATAAAAATGTGCTTTAATTAAGTGTCACTATTCAAAACTTTAAATGCAAAAATGTAACATTTAATATTCTTACACATATATTATTAAAAAATTTAAATTTTTTTACTAAATTTTAGAAAAAACAAAACTTGATCATGTTTTTGTTAACTTACATTACATGAAAATTGCAAAAGTTCTTTCGTTATTTTCTTGAAATATATATAATTTATAAAGTAAAAAATCTGACCAACAACAATTTGAACATGTTAGCTCCATTTTCACGCTAAATTAATTTCGATTATGCAAAGAAATTCATGGTTAAAATAACATTTTACAATGATACTTTTTTTATCAAGCAACAATGAGAAAAACCGTAACTTTCAGAAGCATAAAATGACTTCAATAAATTTATTTTAGCATTTAATGTATTTTTAAAATAAACTTTCATATGTTTACATTAAGTTGGACGTTTACCAAAATTTTTGAAAAGTATGAAAAAAAGTTTTTTTAAAAAAAAATTTCGTTACTTTTAAAAAATATATTCTTTTATATATATTTTTTACATTTTTTTTCAAAAAACTTTCCCCTATTCAAATTATTAAACTTAGCAACACCCTTAGTAACCAAAATTTAAAGTCTAAAAATGTTTTGCATCAAACTAAAAACTTATTATTTAACCAAATCCTATTTAAAAAATTAAATTTGTTGTAGTTAAACATTAAAAAAAAATTTCATTTAAAAATGTAAAACCAATATGTAAAGTTTGTGAGCTGAATTTAACCATTTTTCATTTTTACCTTTGAGAAAAGATATCTTGATATATCTTTTACAGAATATGTTGAAAGTTTGTCAGAATGTTTTAAGGGTCATATAGATTGATTTGAGCGATGCATTTTAAATTTACCTGACTCCTAGGTCCTATAACCATGAAAAACTTCTTTTTCTATGTTACCATAGCAACTGTTGTCATGAGCAAATATCTCGTTTAAATCAATCCCTTTTTTA